AATGCACTCTCAAAGGGTTAGATACTGTTATTTTTAATATACTATTGTCAGAAAACATGATATTCTCAAAGAATATGTTTTTAATATATTTTTACTTAAAGATGGAGATCATAGCTTTGATAAGTTTTTTTTTTTTTTTTTTTTTTTTTTTAAAATTCATCCCAACCCACTCACCAAAGCTTTCAGGGTCCTTTTTATTTGGCTGGAGCCATTTAAATTTTGCTCACTTGTCGATTATTATTTCAAAGAGATTGGAATATATCACGTTTAACTATTAAATAGAATACTTCAGATAGCACGTAGCTTTTTGTATAAAATCTTTATGGTGACTGTAAAATAACATTTACTGTTTAGATTTTTATTTGCTTTGTATTTTATTTCAGACGATCATCCAAAGTCTGGTTATGGGGAAGGTGAGATCCAAACAGCTTTCGCTAATCTATCAAGTAGAAAAGTATTCAGTGTTGTGTTCTTGTTATTAATCTTTTGCATCTAGAAGAATGCATGTTGTGCAGTTTCACTTATAAACGGTTCATGTTAGAGACCCATCTGAAGTGATAAATGTAGACTTTCAGGCAATAAGTGATTCAAAGGTAGAAATGTTGTGAGTGCATAAGGGAGAGAAAGTTCAGGACAAATTTGAAAAAAGATTACATTTCAGACATTTTGAGAACAAAACGGTTAGATTATTTAGTGCCAGTGATTTATAATAAGTGTGAAGTCATTTTAATATTTTCTGTACAGGTCCAAGATCCTCGAGGGGAGTAACCGGTGTCACTACTGTTGGTAAGTTCACAAATATTAAGTCTGCTCTCTTCTCAGTAAATGATTTTCACATTTCTGCACTAAAATTACTCAGGACCTCACTGCAAACACAACTAAGACTGTAAGAGAAGTTTAAAACTGAACTGAACTTTTAATCAAGAATGGAAACTGGGGAAAATAAACGAATACCAATATCCTAGAAGAAAAAAACAAACATTGGGAGGGTGAAGGACTTTGAATGAGATGAGATGATGACTTAACAGAGACTGAGGAAGAACAGATTCAAGAACCATGACGGGGGGCAGGTGAACTCAGTTGAGCCAAAAAAACACTGGTTTGGGGCATTAAAGGCTACAGAGGGTAATAATTAAACAAAACTTTCCACTCTTTATACCCAGTAATACTCGTTCTGCTTCATCCACACTTACTGTGTACTCGGTGAAACAATAATTGTTAACCGTCACAACACTTAAAGCCAGGAAATATTCGGATAAAGTTTTTGTGGCTCTAATCTGGATTCGAGTCCTTTGATAGTGAATATCTGTTGATACAGAGTCTGATTCATATATTGACATGCAGTATCAGCATGCAATGTGAATATTTGTTGTAAAAAATATTTGTGCAGACAACCTTGAGACAAATATTTCCATCCCTCCCTCCCTCCCTTTATCCGGGGCCGGGTCGCAGGTGCAGCAGCCTAAGCAGAGAGCCCCAGACCTCCCTCTCCCCAGCCACCTCCTCTAGCTTATCTGGGGGAACACCAAGACGTTCCCAGGCCAGCCATGAGATATAATCTCTCCAGCGTGTCCTGGGTCTGCCCCGGGGCCTCCTCCCGGTGGGACACGCCTGGAACACCTCACCCAGGAGGCATCCTTGTCAGATGCCCGAACCACCTCAGCTGGCTGATTTCGATGTGGAGGAGCAGCGGCTCTACTTTGAACCCCTCCCGGATGACTGAATTTCTCACCCTATCGCTAAGGGAGAGGCCAGCCACCCTTTGGGCGAAGCTCATTTCCGCCGCTCGTATCCGCGATCTTGTTCTTTCAGTCACTACCCACAGCTCGTAGCCATAGGTGAGGGTAGGGACGTAGATCGACCAGTAAATTGAGAGCTTTGCTTTTACGCTCAGCTCCATCTTCACCACGACGGACCGGTGCAGCGGCCGCAGCACCAATCCGTCTGTCGATCTCCGGCTCCCATCACTCGCGAACAAGACCCCGTGATACTTGAACTCCTCCACTTGGGGCAGGAACTCATCCCCGACCCGGAGTGGGCACTCCACCCTTTTCCGGCTGAGAACCATGGCCTCAGATTTGGAGGTGCTGATCCTCATTCCCGCTGCTTCACACTCTGCTGCGAACCGTTCCAGTGCGAGCTGGAGGCCCTCACCTGATGAAGCCAACAGAACCACATCAAAATATTTTTTCATTAGGTTTTATTCTTAATTTATGATGCATAAATGATTTAACACAGACTGTAAAGATAACAGACAACCTGCAAGTTTAATTCTTACAACCTGCAGCAGTGATTTTTACTATTTTAATTATTAATTTGAAACGCAGCTTTCATGCTTGGCACTTTGAAAGTGATTGTAGTATTGGACTAGTATGAATCTTCCCAGCAGCCTGCTCAAACATTTGTTTGCATTCAAATACAGTGTTGCAGGCCCTGTGCAGTCAAATGATCTGAAACTGTTCTGCTCTAATCCAGTCCTTTAAAATGTTTCAGCCTGGCAAATCTCAACTTCAAACCCATAGAGATGAATTAGGAAAATACTTCCCAAATCTAAAAAAGAAACGTCGGATGTGATCCTTTTGTATTCTAAATATTTATAAAATACTTATAAAAGCATCCTGTAATTTATCATTTTCTTCCTCCTAGACAAACACTGTGAATAAGCTGCCTGCAGTGATGCAGAAAGTAAGTAACATCAGTTTACTCTGACTTCATGCTGCAAATCTTAATGTGATAGGATGCAAGTGGATGATTTATAGTTTTAAAATTGTGTTAATAAGCTTGTGATTGAACTGGATGTGTAGCTTGTCATCAGTTATCCGCCAGTTAAGTTATGGTCAAGTCATACCCCTTTGTTTGTTTGACTTGACTTCATCAGGGACCAACGGCAGCATCAGATGGAGAGAGGCTTTAGGAGGGAGAAGCTCAATGAATTTAAGTTGTTTCTGAGGCACGGAAACATCGTTACTGAACTTTCTTGCATCCCAGATGACAAACTGGAGAACACAGACCAGTCAGGCCTGTTCGATCTCTTGCGTAGACTTACACTTAGCAGTCTGTGGAAGTGACCAAAGATTTTTTTCAAGAAATGTAAAAACCAAGACCTGGTATATATGCCATCAGACATCATGATCCAAAGTTTCTTTTAAAAACTCACTGTTTATCTAATAAAATGTTTTGCCTTTTGATTGCACAGAATGTGGGCCATCCATCCATTCTTTATTTATTGTCACTTGTTTGGATGCAGGTAGTGGGGGAATGTCTTCACAGACATTCAGGAAGAATCCTTATCAGATGCACATGAGTCAAATAACAGAACCACAGTATAACAGGGGTTGGTGTTATATATACATGTACATTATATATAATATACAAGTATAATGGTGCTGACTGAGCCATAAAGCAGTAAAACTCTGTCAAGACGTTACTACAGTTATTTTCTTCAGAAGATTGAAATTAATGGAGAAAAGGTTTTGTCGGGGGAAGTTGCCTATAACGAGCTGCAGGGCCGGAAGTGATGAGGCATTCACGGTCCATAAATTGCACTTCATATAAAATGTGTATGAGAACTATAAGGATTCAAGGAGCTTTATTTGTCATTCGCATCACATGTTTACATGAGGTGGAACGAAGAAACAGAATTTAAAAAACAGAATTTAAAAAGTATTAAATAAAGTTTTTGGGTTGTTTTTTTTTCAAAACAGAAAAACAAGTAATAAAATAATACAATAGAGTACCAACCTGAGTACAAGTATGAATATAGAATGTAGGTATAAATACTTTAGCAGCAAAAGGGCATGATGACCAGCATTGAGACGGTGCCACTTTATCATGGTGTCACATAAAGCCTACGATATAGTTTGAAACTAACGGTGACGATAGGGGAAAAAATGCCACTGATTGTTACGGGGTTAAGACACGTTTTGCTCCCTGGGACCTGACACCACACACGCGTGGAAAACAAATGACCTCTGAGCAGCTGGGGGCGATGCTGGTGACAGGATAGACGCTGAATACAAAGGAAACAAACGCAGGCGTGAGCTGTGTGTTAATTATGTGAAATGATCTTGACTTTAATGGATCCTGCTATTGTAAATATGTTTAAAGGCAACTGTGAGAAATGAAACTGGATGATGCAGAAAAAAGTGGATGTAGTTATTAATATTATTATTAATATTATTATTATTATTGAGTTGTCTTAAATTATCTGAACTATATTAACTAATCTTAATCCAAAAGTCTTTCAGTGCCAGTAAATAAAGTGCGACAATGGCTATGATGTCTTTGAAGTGAGAGCTGCTGAGCTCTTTCATTTCATGACCAGTCTTCACACCTGGAGGATGTAACTCTGCAGGAGGTCGAGCTTCACACCTCTGCCTCGGACTAAAAAGAGCTGAAAGAGTAAAAGGCCTCCGGGTTTCCTTTAATCTTGAAACAATCATCTGACATGTTTTTAAAGATTTATTTGGTTGTTTTAACTTTGAAGAGTACAGCTCGCCATAGGGAGAAATCCAGAATAAATTATTGTGCAAAAACCGACCAGAAATATCTTCAGATTGAATAGAAGTGATGTTGTACACAGAGACACAGGTGTCGCTCGTTCCACCAGAGAGGTGGATATGAAGGTCTGCGTGGGTCTCCCAGCCTCAAACCCTGAGCTTCCACACCTGGAAATGTGATGGATGGACACTCAGTCATTATCCACTACCGCAGCATGCTCTTTAATCATGACGGCACATAGTAGCAGCTTTTAGTAGCGCATCAAAGAGGACAAAATCTCCTCGGCTTCGTGAAACTCACCTCTTCACTCGCTCTTCAGCGCAGCAATCCCAGCTGGACCGCTCGGCTGATCCAGCTCACCTGTGTCGCAGCCTGAGAGAGTCCCCGTTCCCCTGAGCCACTTACGTGGCTGACTGAGCTCATTGAAAAGTATTTAAAACAGTGAATCAACCCTATTACACATACAGATCAAGTCATACTCGGGTATTTACAATATTTACAGGACCTGAAGTTATGCGTCTTCATAAGACTACAGTTTTTAAAAAGAAGTTGTGTGTTTTTGCCAAATAGTTTATAGTCATTGATTGTTCTGAGGTCCCTGCCTGGTGATCAGGGCCAAGGTCTCCACAAAGTGTGGCTGGACGGGGAGCTCTGGGCTGAGCTCTGTTTGGTCGCTCCTCTCTCTGCTCTGATCTCGGACTCTCTTTGTTTCTGAGGCTGTTTGGGGACTCTGGGAAACCTTTGTTGGAGTGGGAGTGGGTAAGGTCGGATCAAACGTTTCTCCCCTGAGGCACGTGCCGGGAGTCTGAGCTTGGACTTCTGCCTCAGCACCCGCAGAATAAACTTTGCGTGCGGCAAAAAGTTTCTGCTTTGGAGACCTTCGGGCTGTGAGTGTGAACGGGCCAAACGAGCGGCAAAAGCTGCATCCAGCGCCGATCCAAGCTCCGACCCTTTCCCCTCGGGGCCCAGAAACCCCGCAGCTGTCTGTAGGCAAGTGGAGAAACCGTCCTGGAAGGAGCGTTTCTGGTCCCCACGTCCACCTGTAGTCTTGTCTCCTTTGGCATTGTTCTGGAGGAAGAGGACTGTGTGCTCCAGTATCTCAGCTTTCTCCACTCGGTGCTGAGTGGACCCCTGCATGAGAGCAGCAAGTTAACCTTCATGTTTCATAATAATAAATTAATAAAAACCACAAGTATGAACCACATCGATTTATTTCTATAAAATTCATAGAGAACTAAAAATTTCTCTTACTTCTTGTGGCTCCTGCAGAAACATGGTCCTCAGACACTCCAAACTGCGGTTCATTCTGTCCCTCCGACGTTTCTCCACCTGAGATTTTATTAACTATCGCAAAAAAAAAAGAAAAAAAAGAAAAGAAAACCAAAGTCTAAACGTGGTTTCCTGATTTTGTTTAATTATATACCGCGTAAAAAGAAAAACTACCAAAGAAAAGCAAAAAAAAGGAGCAAATGGAAATGACTAAATGATTAGAGGGAATTCAGCTTACTAAATTATACAAACTTTTTCATATCTCCAAATTACTGAAATTTTGACAAAGCTGATGCTTTAATCTTCAATGAATCTGATTGTTATTGTGGTAATAACAGAGAATCACTATATGAAATGAAATCACGTCACTTGACAGGTATCTGGACTTCCTTTACCTTTCTATTATTTGTTGCTTCCTCCGCCTCATGTAACAGCTTCCTACCAACCGATGGTCCCATGTTCTGCTCTGGTCTACTGGTAACAGCTTCCTTCGCAGTTTGTTACTGATCTGGAAATGAGGCTCTAGTTTCCTGCCACTTATTTTTTACTGTGGTCCTGACAGCCTCTCAGACTCCTCCTACTTCCCTACCCCTCCTCCAGGTCCCTTGGTCTCACCGTTTGGTAACACTGCAAATGAAAAAATCCTAGATTTGTTTTTATTTTTGAACTTGTCTAATCTCGATCTGATGTCAAGAGTATAAAACAAGAAAATGAATCTTATGCGCAGTCGCGTGCGTAAAGTTAAAAAAAAGTCTTGCGTCAAAACGTTTGAAAATGTAACTTAAAATAAACATAATTTTACTCCAGATGCTGTTCTGTTTTTTCCTGCTCTTGTGCTTCATTTGAAAAAGCTGGTAGCTCATTTTGCTTTGGGAGAGGGGGGCTATTTGCGCATGCAAAGCTGACACGTGCCTTAATCAAGGAAAGCTTGCTTTTTAGGAGCGACGGTGTGATCCTATGACCAGTTTTCATTTCAGAACTATTTTAAGTTGAATAAAAAACAATCACTTACAGGAGGAGAAAGATTTTCAGATTTTTCGCCGAGCCAATATACTTAATTCAGAAAATTCTTTAATTTGTACAGAGAAAGCAGCATCGAAATGATCGAGATATTTCTCGTGGGAAAGGAGGAATTAGCGCTGCATTTACAGCTACCTGTTAAAATTGACACAACTCTGAAAGTGAGAGGCGACACTTCCCACGTTCGCACGCGTATTTTCCACTTTTTACAGTCCAGACGCTTTTCTTTCCAAGCTCCTTAGAATTCCCACCGACATTCATGCAAATAAGATGCAGACAGAAAAAATTCTTCCAAAATATGAACAGATCTTTAAATTAATGCAGTTAAATGCCAGGGAACAACTAAAAAAAAACCATCACGGTCTTCATGTAGTCAAAGTTGATTCGTCAGTTTTAATTCCTGTTCCCTTAAATCTACAGATACAAACATTTAGTCACTAAAACAGCAACACATAAATGCCAGCCCGTTTATCACCGACTCACTGTCACTTTGAAAATAGACCTTTTGTCGCACAGTATCATGCAAATAATTATTCATGAACGCCGATAAAGGTAGTGTGAGGTTTGTGAATCACCTCAGGGTGACTTTGATATTCAGAGTGTGGCAACACGAGGCAACAGACACGTGCCAAAATACAATGACTATTCAGTAGATCTTTATTATTATTCACGGAAGTGAGATAGATTATTAGTAATGACAAATACGCCGTGATTAGAATTAATTGATAAAGTTTTTCAGAAGCTCACTAAAACCTACTACAGGTAGGAATACATCAATAAATGTGACTTTTAAGTTCATCCCTCCACAACTGGTCGCTGAAGATGTAACAAATATAAACATGTATGCATATATTTAATTACTGATTAAGGCATCTAATTTCCTTTAAACGTTTTACTTTTAATACATTTGTAGTAATTTTGGAGATACATGCAGACTGAATGGCGCGTCGCTTGGAGTTTTCCCTAATCCTCTGGCGCGTGCAGCTGCCCATACAAGTGGGAGAGGCACGAGCCTTTGAAATGTGTAATCAGCCCCTCTGAGACTTTACTTGCATATGTGACAAAAGAGCCGCCCACACAGCGTGAAGCTCAGGTAAATCACTCCGACCTTTTAGGCCATTATCCTGTACAGAGAAATGAGATGTGTCCTTATAAAACAGGCTCTGGGGTAAAATGGTTATGAAGACAAAGCCGAGGCATCTTTCAAGTGTCGAAGTTTTTAGCAGTGAGCAAAAATCTGCAGCAAGGAAAAGTCTCATGATGTTCCTATGTTTTTTTCATTAACATTTCTATATTCATGTCTGTAGATATTTGTCTTTTAATCATGACTGTATAACAACAACTTTGTGCACACATGTTTCGCCGACTAAGAGTCAGGAAAGTGTATTCTGAATTTGAGGGAGTGCGTAATTTTTTTTAGGCGCATCCTTGAAAACGTGTGAAAAAGGGGACTGATATCAAAAGGTAACAGTAGCCTGTTTGTGTGTTTAATGTAAATATGTAATTTTCTTGTTTTCCGCCTCCTCTCCCAAAGACTCCTCTTTAGGATGTATCACTTCTAACACGTAATAAAGTGAGAAACTATTCTACAGTTCGATTCCCATGAGAGAGAGTTTGGTGAGGTATCCCACGGTAAACGATGGCGATAAAAGTGTGAATATCCATTAAATATCCAGCCAAACTCAATCAACATCAGCTTTTATCTGTTGTTAGATAATCTAAAAGGGATTTAATGTTAATACAACTTTTCAGTCCGGATTTCTGAATTGTTACGAGAGGTCTGCAAAGGGATCTTCAAAAGAAAGCGTGACGCTAAATTCCATATTTTTATGCGGGACTCTTTAAATGGTTAAGTTTGGTTAAATGGTCACAAAAATGAGAACCTATTTGGGGATCTTGTGCCAAGGTCTAACGTGTGCTGTGCGTGGGAATCCAAGAGTCACCTTTCCTCCAAGAACACTTTGCAAATGAAGTATCAGTTTTAACAGGTAATAAAGTGAAGATTGAGCCTGCTGCTCCACATTCCCACGGCCAGAAAGAGCTGCAAGAAGCAGTTTCCCACTGTCACACTTTTCCAACATTTGTCTACTTAGTGCTGTGTGCCACGACAAATGTGCATCCACCAAATTAAAAGCATTTTTTGTCACACGGTTTGGAAAACACCGGAACACTTGCTTTACGCACCTCTAAGTCTCACCATTAATATGTAATCAGTTGCAAATAAAACACATTAGTACTAAATACATCCAAAGTAAAAAATATTTTTTTATATACACTGGCATTAGTAATAGGGTGTATGAGTATATTTGTTAGTAGTAGATGGGCTACCTGATTCCGGTAGAGAGCTTTTCGGGATGACCAGATATATCTGAGCTCTGATAACACAAAGAAATACACAAAGAAATTTAAATAAATCCAATAATTTTCTTTCACAGCAATAAAACAATAAACGTAAATAAATGTAACTAAATATACAAATTTATGTTGTGACTGTCATGTAACTTAGTGCAGAAATAATACCACATTTTGTGGTGTGCGTAAAAGTGCTTTAACGCTCACTGATTACATTTAATTCCACCTGTTTACAGACCTGCCTTCGCCACGATTCTTTTATCATGCAAGTCGTTTACACCTCTGCAGCTGACAAATGCGCCTGGGAACCCAAATGCAGACGTGTAAATGACGTGCACACCTTGTTTTCGAGATGTATCAATTTTAACACTTAGCTGTCAGCGCAACTCTAATTCAGTCTTCCCACAAATACGCTCCTTCATCTGAAGAAAGACAAGAGGAAAACAAACGGAGAGAAAAATATTTTTTGTTCTGATTTAATTCAATTAGTAGAAAAAAGTCAAGAATGAAAATGACGATTTTTGTCTTTTTGTCAGTAGAAATCAAAACAGTTCCAATTGTAGCCAGAATTTCGAGTATAACAACAATAATTAATAAATAAATGAAATCTGTGCTGAGAACCATTCATCTGATAATTATTTAACTTAAAAATAATGAGACCAGAATATCTGCAGGACGTTTCCTTGGAGCAGTAGCTGCTGGCCTTGGACGTCACCAGAAAGAGGCCAGTGTTTTACGCATCACTGCCTGTGCAAAAGTGAAAACCTCGCACATCTCATCATAACTCATTTCTGCAGTCCCAAAAGCAGAATCTGACTGTTATTAAAAACGTCATCAAAGGCGATTCAGTTTTTATGGTATTTTGCAATTATAGTGATTCTGGGAGCCGGTGGGGGGGGTGGGACGATTGAAGCAAACATTTTAAGCAGCTTTAATCTATTTTTTTATTGTTCACTCTATGCACGCAGTTTCATTTAATTAAAATTATTTTTGATTTCAGTTTTTAAGTCCCCGGGTAAGTACCAAGAGTTGTTTGAGTGCTGCTGCACAGTTGCAGGACTTGCTTCTACAAAGACTTTGGTTTTATCATTAATGCTTGATGATCGTGAGTTGAAAAAAGATGATAGATAAAGGACTTATGATAACTTAAGAATGCGCAGACTGTGGATGTAAATTAACGAGAAACAAAATCCACAACATGTCAACAAAAAGTCACTTTATTGCATGCATCCCTGACATCTCTGTGCAGCTATGCATGTGTTATTCATTTATTTTTCCTTGAATATTTCTTCAATGAATACCAGCTGTTGCATATTTGAGTAGAATTCATCTTAGACATTCAGTTTTATTATTTACAAAATCTGAACATGCCATATAAGAGAACATTTACAACAGTATCCCTCAATCTTAACAAAACAAGAAAACAATTATTTACATGAGGCTGATTTAAAAAGAAATAATTAAAAAAGAGGTAATAAGGGAAGGAATATCTCTCTATGCTGTTGTGTATTAGTCTGACACCAATCCACTTAAGAAGCAATGGGCAAAGAAACACTGGATACAAACAATTAAAGTCCAGCTTAGGGCTTTGCACCGAATGACAAACTAAAACTGGGTGTCTCTAAAGGAAGCTGAATTTCCTTTCCTACAGGGCTGTTTGTGTGGAGTCACTCATGTTGTTTAACCTCTCACTTCTGGACTTCTGCTCCGAGTTTGTTGAACTCAGTGCTGCTTGCTCTACTCTAATAACACTGTCTCCGTTTGCAGCTGGCTGGTGTTCTGGTGGGGTAGCAGTATCGGTGGGAGGGGAAACAACTACTCTCTCTACGGGCTCATTGGGTGCTCTGTCTGACACTATAAGGTAATTGGGTTCTGGCTGGTGGGCGCTAGAGCGGCGCTGCAGTGCGTGCTGGGTGCAGGAAAAGGAACGCTGCCGAGGGGCAGGCTGGGGGGACAGGAAGTGAGGCGTGGCAGCTCTGGGGACTTCCTGATGCCTGTCACGGTCCTCGTCTTCTGATGTTACCTCTTGTAAGGTGCTGATTGGCCGAGGGGAGCGGCCCATGACCCGTGGAGGAACGAGAGCTGTTGCTGACTGGTTGAGCTGGGGTCGCCAGTTCTGAGGCGGAGGGTACTGCACTCGGCCCATGGACCAATCACTGGCAAGACAAGAAGGTCATCATAACATTAGACAGCATAAAAACAAACAAACAAAAAAACCTAAAGAGGTCTTTGGGAATGAACCCTTAAAACTGGAAATAACTGGTATTTTTGCAGTTCTGGGTATGGACATCAAAGACTTCACGTTTTTGGTGTAAAAGCCTGAAATAAGGTCTTGGTTAACACAAACTTATGTCCAAATGAATGTCTACATCTTCATTTTTTCTTCTGCAAATTCATAAATAACATAAAATAATGTCCCACTCATTAAATTTGAAACTTTTACATAAATAAAATATTAATTTAAATATTAATGTGCCAGTTTTGGCGACTGAAACAGCAATATATTATCTCTATTTTACTCAGTGCTAATTTCTGGGTGTCTCTGTTGGTGCAAAGAACTTATACATACACATGCAGCCACGGATGCACCTGGCTAAACCAAGCTAGCAGGTGTTAGCTGATAACTTAGCATTTCACCCATGTTGTCATTTCTTACCCCAAGAAAACAAAGATGGCAACAGCCAAAACATTCACACTGACGCACAGTGGCCATATTTTATGTACAGTCTATGTTAACAATATCTTGGATGAAAAATCAGCTAAATAACTTTAATTTTGTGACTTCAGCGTATCATCGAATGAATCTCCAAAGAAGTTCAACTATAACTATAGGAGATATTCACATTTGTTTTTATTTTCTTTGTTTTTTATGTGTTAAAATCATTATCTATTTTATTTTATGACATATTATCTCACATTACCAGGCCCTTACTATGCACATGTGGGAATATTTGCTAAAAGGTAGGTTTTATTCCCACTGCTGTCAAGTGCTTGCTCAAATGGGGTCGTTTGATTGTTGGTGTTTTGTATTATTATAGGGTCTCTACTAGACATGGACCGATCCGATATTACGTATCAGTATCAGTCCGATACTGACCTAAATTACTGGATTGGATATTGGATATCATCTCCGAGAAAGTTATCCCAGAGAGAAGTAAAGCAAGTGTGTAAGTTCATCTCTGAATGTTTGTAAAGCATTCCCACGTTAAGCTTAACAACCGATATATGGAGCGACTGCCTCTCTCTCTCCCTCTCCTGCTGCTACTTCAATCATGAAACTGATCAATGATCAGCTGATCGGCTTTTCTGTCGCAAGTCTGTCTCTCTTCTTAGTTTATCGCCCACTTTGCACCAGAAAGAGGAAACCAGCGGCTGAACAGCAGCTTGATAAGCTGTTGTTAGAATTTATTGAATATTACTTTCTACACCAGGATCCTTTTCTACGTAGCTGACGGCTGGTAACTGTGCAGGGGCGGATCTAGCAAAGTTATGCAGGGGGGAAGGTAGGGCATTAACAGAGAAACGGGGGTTTAATAAATAATTATCTGAATCTTACAACCAAAGTTTTAATCTGATGTAAAATGTATAGAAGTCCATTAGTAACTGTTAAGTCTAATATACTCTAGTAAGCTATACTACTTTTTCCTTTGGGAAGGTACCATCTGTGCAGTCTGCAATTCTTTTGAAGAAAGATGTTGAATCTATTTAATTATTGTGGAAAAATAAATAATTTATTGTGAATTTTCTTTACATGCACATTAAACTAAAGTCGATTGCGTCGATTAAGCATCACGAGGCAGAGGGGGGTGGTTCCCTATTTTTTTCGGCTGGTAGTTGACAACCCTATTAGTTAGGCTGCTTAATATTTCTGCTAAGTACTCTTTAAAATACCAGAATAGGGAGGATGGAGTAGGTTTATGTTTGTTAGATTGATCAGTTTTGCTGAACTATGAAATATCTTGGGTGCAGTGTATTTTTTGCATACAAGTATAACAGAATAGCTTTAGTGTTTTGTTTTGTTTTTTAACTTGAGTATGAACTTATACAAAATGCAGCAATATATTTAAAAAAAAAGTTTTATTGATTAAAAAATACACTATATCGGATTCATATCGGTATCGACAGATATCCAAATTTATGATATCGGTATCGGTATCGGGCATAAAAGAGTGGTATCGTGCCATCTCTAGTCTCTACCTTGCAGTATAAAGCGCCCTGAGGCGACTGCTGTTATGGTTTGGTGTATATGAATAAAACTGACTCGAATACGTTACCCTGTTGCCATAACACAAAAATTTCCCCTTTAGAGCCTATGGAGTATCGATCCATCCATCTACCTAGCTAAACCTGTTGATTTAGCTATAAGGCTGGTAAAAAATTCTATACTTTGATCGGCCTTATAATTCCAAAATCTTACTTTTGTACTGGTGGGGTCATATCCCGATGCCCTATGATACCAGAGAAGGAGGCACTTCTTCCAGGCAGGCCTTGTGAGCCCACCCACGGTGAGTACATCAGAGTGCGCTCCTCCCACATCATGTCGCTTCCCGTGTCCACAGGGATGGGTCCTCTCTGGATCTCATGAGCCAACAGGAGTTCCAGCACTTGGTGACGCATTCCCTCTCTGGCCACGTCAATTGGCCGGCGTCCCCTCCGGTCGTGCAGCTCAAGATTGGCACCATGAAGAAGAAGAAGTCTGGCAGTGTCATAGCAGCCATGGAGGGCAGAGAGGAAGAGTGCTGTTTCGCCCTAGCAAAGAAATAATCAGGAATACCACACATTACTTATATTTATGAACACTTAATGCTTCAGAAATTCAAACATAAATGTTACTTCTGTTTGCAATTCAAAACTATAAACAACAGAAGTGATGCTAAATAAATGTCAGGATTAAAAGTCTTCACTTAACACTAGAGAAAATCCATCAGAGCTTACCTTATTGTCTTGTAGGTCCACAGCAGCACCGTAGCGAATGAGGGTCCTTGCTAGTGAGAGGTGGTTTACTGAGCATGCCCAGTGCAGGGCTGATCTCCCTGAGAGAGACAGTGTGAGTGGAGGGGGAGGTTGACAGGGGAAGAAGGGAGGGAGTAAGTCAGCCAGTGAACAACTATTACACAACGAGCCCAGAGGATGAGGAGAGGGAGGATGAAGGCAGGGGATGACCTGCCTCAGCCAAACTGGAAAAGAGATGACGGGATATAAAGGTGGAAGAATAAGAGCTGCAGAAGGAGATAGATAGAGACACAGAGGCCCAAAGGAAAGTAAAAGTAAAAAAAAAGGAAGCATGAACACCAAAGCTAATATGTCCATCGACTTGAGTTTAAGTACTAGAGCACATTAACTTTGTTCTGAGTCAGAGGAGGGCAGCAGGGGAGCTGGAGAAGGAGAGAGGAAGTGATGGAGGTCACAGACAGCAGAGGACAGGACAGGAGGGACACAAAAAGAGGACGTGAGAGAGATGGGGTAAGTTACAAGTTACTCAACCCCTCTGTGTACAGGTGTCAGAAAAAAAATGACTTACTCATGAGCTGTACATGTTTGGGTTCAGGAGGCAGACATCCTCTCTCTTAGTTATTCTGCTACAGGCTCAGACTGCTCATACTCCACATTCCTCTCTTTCAGCCACTGTGCATTGATACACCACTACTGCATGTCTTGTGTATCTCTCTGTACCTTTCTTCCATCTATCTCTGTGTCAGAGATTTTGGTCTGTAACTGCTGGCTCACAACTGGGCAGGTGTTTACGATTTGCATTGTGTTTTATTTGTGTGCTGTTGCACCCCAGCGATGTCAGGGGAGATTGGCCCTGCTTCTGTCATTGGTTTAATCCTGTTAAAAGGTAGTTTTAGGTACTAGGTTTATTTTTGTAGCAGATATCAGAACTTTTACTTTGCCAAGTGCCTAAAGATAACATGTGTTTGACTATATCTCTGCCAGAGGTCTCTTCCTGTTAAACAGAAGTTCTGACTGTCTGATCATTGAGGGTCTCTCTCTGTTTTGAACTGGTGCTATATAGACTAAATTTAAACTTCAATCCACTCTCGTCTAAACAGATATTGCATTTAGACGCGTTCTTTTTTTTTTTCATCACCCTGTACTGCACACTGTGAGGTGTGGGGCCACTGCGTGGGTGCATAGACAACCAGGTAAAAACTGTGAAGTAAAACTAATGTGAAGAATTGTTTGTGTTGTTTACTGAACAAACAAAAGTTTGCTGATGCCACTGTGCCGATGATGTGCACGTTTATTTAAGTAAAAATTAATATGGGTTGTGGGGAATGAACTTTGGCCTCTAAAGTGAGGCATGGCAGAAATTTAAGAACCACTGCTCTAAACAATGTAAGTTGGTGGTCCAACTCTGAAGAGTTGTTTGAAATATACAAACTTTGGTGATCCCATGACGTGAACCAACAGACAGTCAACAGTTCTGGTTTGGAGAGACATCACAAAAGGTATCGGCTGTAACGCCATTAAATTTCAAAGAGAGACCTTTTGAGGAACCGTTGTCTACCGGGTACCTTTTAATCTTTCCATTGTTTTTGTTTCTAAACATATAGTTAAAGAATTTTAGAATCATTAGCTTTAATATTTGTCATTTTGACCATGTTGTGTGTGTGTGTGTGTGTGTGCTGGAATGGCTTGGATTTTGTTCATTGTTACAACTTTTTCTTAAACCAAATGATTAAAGGAATAAACATTTAGATTGAAATTCTATTTTAGGTTTATTAGGTTTGGTGTTGAGCCATGTTTTCGTGATAGTAACTGGGACCAGGAAGCATTACCAGTATGATCTGTATTGTTGACTGGCACTCCTGCTCGCAGAAGCTCCAAGACCACTCTGTCCAGCCCACTACGCACTGCTCGGATCAGAACCACAGACCCATCTGGGCCACACCACTCTGCAGACTGCCAACACAACCAAACCACAATGACGAGACACATAATCAATACAAACTCTGTCATAATGCCTTTTTTAAATTTATTTTAAAGAAAAGTTTAAACCTTCTTTTCTAAAATCTTGTTCTAAAGTCAAAACATAAAGAAATCTTCTTAAGTAAAACATGAAACTAAATACACCATCAGAATCTGTCTACAGTCACAGGGCAAAAACTGTTTAAATTCCTGGCATATAATGGCTTCTCGAAACATTGACATAATGAAACTAACCTGCTGAGGAGGACTGAGCAGAGGAGGAGGCATGGCATTCCTCTCCCAACCTCTAGGTGGAGCTGAGGGAAGGCAAGCAACGTTTCAGGGTTAAGGACATTATAAAAACAGGAAATGTATAGTTGTCACGAACATTTTATGTCCCACAATGCAATTTCGTGCTGGAAAGTGTGTTTGTATGAATCCTGCTTTACTATAAACTTTATTGCTTTACTTTATTAATCACTTTATTCACTTTACAACAATAGTCTGTGAGTTTAGCTGTGAGATACCGAAGATACTAAATAGAGTGATTCTGGGTCTGACAGTGAATACAGTTTGAATTTCAGCTTTGTATGTGTGACATCTGTGGTGAAATGTTCAGCCTATAGGTGCAACAAATTATTATTTTTAATAAGATAAGATAAGATAACCTTTATTAGTCCCACACGTGGGAAATTTGTTTTGTCACAGCAGGAAGTGGACAGTGCAAAAGTTATGAGGCAAAAATTAGGATACAATAAGAATAAATACAGTACACAACTGTACAGAATAGAATAAATAAAATACTATATACAGTAATACAATAATCATCTGGATAAAAATAGCTTAAAGCTCCCAAGTTTATTTTAGTATTTTACTTTGAGAAACTACCAAAGCAATCAAATGGAAAAATATCAAATGAAAAACATTTTGGAGAAACTGGAAACATAACAGTGATCTTTTCTGCTGCTGAGGTCCATCAGGAACCAGCATTTTGTGACTACAGTTGAATAATGACAGATTTGATTACAATATCTGCCATATTCTTTACAGCAATAGAATTTATGGTATATACAGATTACTAAACCAGATAGTCAAGCAACTGAGACAAAATACTGATGTTTCCTTACACTGTATAGCTCTGCGGGGCTGAGCGGCTCCAGCACGGTAGTGTTTCTGCTCCTGGGTCCTGTGGTCACAGATGGAGGCATCGTCCTGACGTCTGGAGCATCTCACACTGAGGTCCTCCATTGAACTCTGAGTAAAGTCTGTGTCACTTCCTATATCCTGGTCCCTCTTAAGAGGCCTGAAAACCAAAGCACAGTTTTGATACGGCACACTGAAAACTGCAGTAGTTTTCATGTGGGCACATTGTGTTTTCATGTCCTTTGCTTTACTTTCTTATTTTTCAGCACAGTTAAGAACAATAATATATTATGTAAATATCGGCTGATATGAAACAAAGGTATTCATGCAGAAATGAAGAGGATATCACTGGGATGTCTGAGGTCCAGAAATATCAAATGTTCCTGTTTTCACCATAAGCCCAGTACTATATCTTAACTATGGGTAGTTATTGATTATATGCTGTTTCACCTAAGCTTTTGATCATATTTTGAGGTTAATCAAGACTTAAGTAGAAAATATATAAGTTAAAACATATTTAAAAATGCCCTCTATGATTTTCTACATCAAATACAATGTTTAACTTGACTAAAAACCAGAAATCCTCAAACTAGCTAATATAGAATGATAATATTTGAATTGTTACGCAGATGATACATGTTCACAGCTGAATTATGATTAGTCATAGATGGAAATCATTTAAGCGTTGATGTTCACCACTATTATGTAATGAAGGTAAAATCACTGCAGTCATGGACAAAACTTGTTTTCTGCAAGGAACAAAGTTCTTTGTAAAACTTTGTCATTTGTGCATGCATAAATGCATAAATGACTGGTGTGTCTGCGTGTGTGTGTGTGCTTATGATGTTTTTTAACTTTATGTATGTTTTACTGTTTATCAAATATTTCCGTACCTCACCTAACAAAGTATTTCCTTTTTTTGCCTGCTATTTTGAACCAAAACTTGGTAAGCGTCTAAATCGGCTTTTTATCTGTTGTACAGGGGAAAAAATTGTTAATTCACAAAGGGGAAAATCAAAATATCATAAATAATAAAATTAAAAAAGCAGTTGTCTGATTCTATGAATTCTTTTCTATATTTAGAAAAAACATCTTAAACACTTGTTATTTACATATCAGACACACAGACAATTTTTTAAATTAAATCTTGTAAACAGTTACCGAAACTTAACTGGCAGCTCTTTTCAAAACTCCTGACTCCTTTAGCAGCTCTTTTATTAAAAATTCTGCTTGCTGCAATCCTACAGCAATTCCTGCAAGAACAACATGGTCTAGTTTTACTCTTCACCAACCACTGGTTAACTGCCTTTAAGAAACTGGGAATTGTGTTTCAGGGCAGGATTAGATGAGAAAATGTACCAGGGTGAAAGTGAAGTGACATTCAGCCTTTGTAATAATTATACAGGATGAGCTCTCTCTTGTTACTGAATGCAATGACATCATTCCGGAGATTGGCAGCCAAAACATCCTCTCAAATGAGCTCCACTCACCGCATTCGCATGGCATCCTCCCCTAGCGGTTCCCTCCTTCTCTTTTTTTCTGCTTCCTTGGCCTTTTTCTTTTTCTTCAAGCTGACCTTATCTTTCTCTCTGCTGGTTCTGACCCGTTGTTCTTGGTGTGTAGCATGCTGTATCCAGGCCTTGGCTTTGCTGTCACTGTCGGTGACTTTAGACCGGTGCTGCACCCTGTCGGTACTGTTCCTCTTTGCCCGCTGCTGCCTCACCCTCCTCACTACCAGGATTACCACGAGAGGCAGCAGCAGCAGAAGCCCAATAGCTATGGCAACTACGGCCCAAAGCCATGCGGGAGTCGGCTCTTTAAATGAAAAAATTCAAACAATAAAAGAAGACACAAAGACAAAAAAAAAAACACTTGAAAAAGATTCATTTTTATCTTTTTGCTTGTATCTATTTATATCTGAAATATGAAACACATCAACAAATCTGAAAATCTGCACAAAATGTACACACTGGAAACACAAAGGTGTTTTATAGTGTTTTGTTTGGATGAAATTCAAAGCTGGAAATGTGCGTGTGTGGGAGACAGGACATGTGAGCCTACCTTCAACTTCCTTTTCCTCCTCTCTGCTTCCTATTTCCTCTCGGACACCTCTAATGCTGATGACGGCATCCAGCTCTGAGAGGTTGGGGAAAGAGGTAGGTTTTAGTTCCTTTACAGCACGCAGGAAATTTGCGGCCTCGGTTGCATAAGGGAAACAGGTAGAGGGTGAACGGGAGCATGGCCTGTTGTCCACTTGGAGGAAAAGGAGGGAGCTAGGAAAAAGAGAGTAAGAAATGATTGGAAAAAACATGTATGTCATCTTTGAGCATTGTTTTCTATGTATTTTCGCATGGGTAAAATTACCTTTGCAAAAAGTTATACTCTTTCAACAAAATAAATTAAAGAAAGAAAACAAAACACAAAGATAATTTCAAAACAAATAAAGCTACAAAGCTCAATTATGACTGGCTTATTGTAATTAATGGAGTTCCCCAAGGTTTTATGTGTGGCCCACTTTTTTTGGTCTTAATTGTGTTAATGCACAATGATCCAAAACTTTTATGGAGAATATGGAATTTCACATTTCTGTGAATCTTCTTTCCCAGTTACTTTATTTGCTTTAAATATGTTCAAGTCTTAACTATACAGATTAAGGACCAGATTTACTAACACACTATGCCCCAAAATTGGGCATTTACAAAGAGAGTGTAGTGACATGATTGCATCTAAGAAGTGGGAACACAGACTTACTCTGTTGTATATATATTTTTAGGAGTTAACATTTAGGGAGGAGAATATTTAAACCAAGCATGTGAACGGATTTACTAACTACTCCAACATTTAAAGCAGAAAACAAGCATGTCTTATTTTTTGCACTTGATACTGAAATGAATTGACCGTGCCTGTGTTTAGAAAACAGTATAACTGTAAATCACCTAAAAGACTAACCACAGCTATTTGGGGAATGGGATATGCTATTTTTCCCTATTTAGCTAAGAGCTAACACTTTATTTTTTGAATGTAAACAAATTTAAAGTTACAGATTTTTCTACATCTCTGACACATAGCCTAATCTCTAACTGAAATCAAATGGATAATTCATTAATTCTACTCTAACTCTAAGCTCATTTGTATATTTTTGTATTTTTACACAGATATTCCTAAATAATTGTACTTTTGCTGTGTAATCTTATTTTACACAAATAAGGATATGTGAAATCACAAGAGGAAAAATAGCCTCAGTTTCTTCAGCTTCAGGCTCTTGGATGGTCTACAGGACAAATGTAAACAGAGTGATATCTATGGCAAAGGTAAGAGTGAGAAAAATATAACATTTATCTTTCTTTTATAATACAGTTATCGATACTCTGGTGCCAAATATCAACATTTTAATTAGAACAGGACTTGACAGGGCCACTTACTCCTTGTGGTGGTGCAGATTTGCATATTTTTAGAGTTATTATTGTGTTGCTTTGTCTTACATTTTTTATGTTGCCAGGCCAAAATGCCTCTTGTTACATAAAGGTTAAACAAAGAACATGCACTGTTTTTGAAACTCCTAATCACAATGCCAGAAACATTTGTCTCAGTACCCACCCATCTGAGTCTGCTGGTGACGCCTGCACCAGCATGTTAGCAAGCTCCTGAGCATTAAAGTCGAACAAATTCCTGGTGGTGGCGAGGGGCACGGAGTCTCTCAGCTTGAGCGGTGACAGGAGGAGGACGCTGAGTGCCCAGAGCACGGAGCTGTTGAACGAGGCGCCACGTTGATGTGGGATTCGAGTGTGTAGGATCAGGGTGCCTTTAGCCCACACGGGGCTCTGGTGTTTGAAGCATTCGCTGCTGTCCCATCCACAGGCCGCGCTATCACATCCCTGATCACAGAGGGAGTTGGCAAAATGATCACGGCAGTAGTGAATGTGGCCCGGGCTGAGAGTCATGATGAGAGCGGAGAAAAACAAAACAAAAAAAGAATAGGTGATCTAAGAAATAATCTCAACTCAAGGTATACTGAACAGTAACAGATAACAGACTACTTGTACTAAGGTTACTTAATGTTTTCATTTATTCTACTTTTATAGACACCTTTGTGCTGCCTGGATCTCTTTAGTATTGTAGTTTGTATTAGTGTTTTTTTATAGTTTCATTTTTTTTAAAAGACTGAACACTAAACTTCCATAAATGATTATAAAAGTAATAATCAACAGGGTTTTACTCTTAGATTACATTGATTGTTTGTATTTCTTGGCCCAGTTTCTTTTCCATAAGGTTTTCTTTAACATAAAAATAAAAGGTAACCACAATAAAATGAGGAAAAGATGAAGAAGAACAGGTGATATTACCAAGCAGAGCCACAAACTACATCTTAGTTGATCAAATATTTATAAGAAGCATTAGAACACAGTACATAAATAAGCTGTTATGACTGTTTAGTGCGTCACTATCTTATTACCTTTTTTTTTCATGATATATGGTTAATCTATCTGTTCCTACACCCAAACATTTTGAAAAAAATTATATTTATATATATGTCAAAGTTGTTTTGAATTTATCACTAAGTTAAAAAATATTTGTAAGGGCTCTGAAAGTCAGAGGGCTGTAATGAAAAGAAGAACAAAAGTGTTTTACTTGCAGGGAACCCTGTCCTTCAGGCAGTCAAAGCCGTCTCTAAGACACTCAGGGTCCGTACACTCTCTGTTACACGTCCCATCTGCGAACTTTTCTTTACATTTTCGGTTCACTGGGCAGTGGCCCCATGGATCACCAGATGCAGCTGTGGAGACAGATGCATATTAGACTTTAGAAAAAAACAAACAAACAACAACAACAAAAAACTGCACTACACCACACAGCGTGACTATAGTATTCCTCACTAAATTAAAGAGTATTTGCAGATGTAGTATTTGTAGATCTACTTTTTAATTAATATTTTGTCCTCAAATGAAGCACACATGGGTATTTTAAACGGCAGGTGACTTTTATCAGCAGTGAGATATGTCACAGGTAAATAAACTTCCACAGCTCTCCAGTTTACTATTTTCTGGTACAGCAAAATAGATCCGAGGTCCTAAATTTCAGCTTATCTAACCAGACATTATGCACAGCTGCAGAAAATAAAATGACTGTACAAGCAGTTTTCTCTAACTGTTTTTATCTCCAGACCAGCTCACACACAAATTCAATCCACTCATTGTTTCAGACCCATTAGCAGCTTTTCATAACAATGCAGGTCAAGCCATAAAAGGTGGCTCCTGATTCGTACTGTTAAAGGGAACAGGAAATGAGCCTGACACAAACAGGAAGTTTCCAGGAGAAACGAATAGAAACAGGAAATGGAGTGGGTCGGGAACTTGATAAAGGTCGAAGGTTGTTACTCTGGCAATGAAGAATGTGATGGAGTTGGACAATGGGTTTGGCAGGTGTGTGCGGGACCATAAAGTCATGGTAGAAAAAAAAAGGATAGACAATAGAGCTGTAATTAGACATGTTCACTCGCCAGCAAAGGGAGTCTTTTGGATACGAGTAATTTTACAAAACTGAGCCAGGAACGATTAAAAAATATGTATATATACTGCTGACATAAAAAAATAAAAACACTTTTCATTTTGTCTTTAACAAAACTATGAACTACATTTTGACACAAGTGTGTTTGTAAACCATGTAAACTTATAAATATTTTACACACTGAAAGAAATATAAATATGTTTGTAACTGAATGCATTTTAAACCCCTCTTCTTTCAGAATGAGCTTTCTGATCATGACATATAGCTACGGGGTTCAGTTTGGTCACTCACTGAGCAGGTGGTGTGTTTCATGTAGGTTCAAAAGAAAAAGGAATTCTTTGAATGGGGAAGGGGGGTAACTCACCTTGACATGTCAAGCTCAGTGCCAGAAGAACAAACGTCCTCAGAGCTATCATCTTCAGGCCGTCCCGGTCACCAGGTGCTGGCCCCTTCTTCTCAAAAAGCCGTCCTCCAGTCCAGCTGTGTGGTATTATTCCACTACAAACTGCTTCTGATGTGCCAACGCTCAGATGAGACTCTCTATTTCACGTACTGAAAAGACGCTGTAGCTCTTCCGTAGCTGCAGCCCGGCTGCTCAGAATGAATAGTTAACTGTGAGTGAAGTCACCAAATCCCCATCACCGCTGCCACCAACACCTTCCAACTCCACCACCCAGCCCACTTTGTTCACTCGCTCTTTTTTCAGAGGGCCCTGCGGATATCTGGACAACTTCCTGCCACTGTGTGGAGAAGAAAAGGAAGGGCGATAACCATGTGTGCATGTATTTGTGTGTATGCGTGTGTTTGTAATTCTTACTGTGACTCAGGGAGCTGCTGGGAGAGCCGTTACTTCATATTGTGTAAAAAGCAGCAGGGCGTGACGAGACAGATTGGTTTGGATTTGATGATTTCACACATACACACATCTGGGGAGTCCTAACAGCTTGACTGTGACTGCTCTGCCTTTGAAAGAATTCTGGAAATACTTCTGGTAGCTGTTAATATTTAATTCACAAGGGAAAATATCAACTTTGACACTTGAGTTGACTTTGACCTTTTACATCACACATATCGAAACGATAAAATAGCAGTTTTGTTGTGCTCTAACAAAATGATGCTCCAAATAACACGAACCACTCGGAGGCCTCAAAATGAACGTAGTGCTTAAATTGTTTCAGCTACATCGAGACAACTACACTGCTTCAAGAAGTGCAAATATAAAAGAAGGATCCACCATCAAGTCTCAAACAAACGGTGTATAATACAAAGTTGGTATTAACTTGGCAACAAACACCAACATTGGTCTACGGGTCACCGACTCTCTCAGGTTGTTGCCCTGGAGCTCCTCTTTCCAAGCAGTATTCCTCCCAAAGCTCATTAAACAAGTTTCCAGTTCCACCAAAAGAACAACACTGGTCCTTTTTGGAGTCACACAATCTTAAATTCATTTTTTTAAACACAGCACAGAAAACCTGGCGTGAAAGCGGCGCTGTCTTCTGATCCACGCAGTGGCTGTAGTAGTACCTGTAGACCTCGGACATGTTTGAGAAGACTGGCTCCAGACAGAGCTTAGAGGTGGACGTTCCACCACAGGAAGATGACACTTTTGGTAAACTCTCTAGAAACTCCTTCAGGACTATATGCTCGGAAGCTTTACGGGATTTCCTCTGCATTCGCTTCTTACTGTTCTCCTCCGAATCGTCTAGCTGGGAGGCATTCTGGGCCCAGTTAAGCACTGACCACTCTCCAATCCCCAAAGTGGAGAGGAACATTTTTTTACAAACTTGTTTTTTATCGCCATCTGCTATCAAATGATATCTCATTGAGACTGATCTTCTAGACTGAGTCCACGGTGCACGGGTTCTTTCCACCGGATCACAGTCCACAAGCCCAGCCACATAGACCTTCCTCTGAGTCCAGTTCATACACTGCCAGAAAGCAGTGAACAGCCCACTCCGTGTTTCGTCACTAAAGTCAGCACAAAAGCGGTTCGATGCCCTTTTGCAGGCACCGGATGTGCATCTTGGCCCCATTGACCTTTGAGCTTTAGTAATAGCGGCGCCATCTTTCTTTCTCTTGCTGGTGTACGGTTTTCCCTCCATCCTGAGTTGCTTCTGACGATTTTGTTTCCATGTTAGTGGTTTTGCAACTCTGGATTTCTTTCGGATTGCCCCCTCTTTTTCTGGTAGCCTGTTTTTGTCTTTGTCAGTTGCATTCATGTGTTCTGTAAAAACATGGGAACCTTATTAACATGCACGTATCATTATTGAGATATACCTCATTGCTTCTGCCAAAACTTGTGTAAATCAGGTCAACGAGTTTATAAAGTAACTGATAAACAGTCAAAGAAAAAACACTCACCTTGAGTAACTACTGCAGTGTTGCTGTCTACAGGAGGGGCAGTCACAACTGGCTTTTTTTCTGACTTGCTCTTGTTTGATTCAGTCTTTTCTGTTACCCAGTTGAGCACAGACCATTCTCCAATCCCAAGCGTGGACAGGAACATGTTCTTACATACTTGTGTCCGTTTGCCATCCACCATCAAATGATAACGAAGTGATACCGATCTCCTTGAAGGCAACTCCGCAGCCCGAGATCTTTCCACAGAGTCACGATCGACTTGTCCTGCTACATAGAGCTTTCTCTGAGCCCAGTTCATGTGCTGCCAAAATTCATTGAACACCTTCTTCCTTGTTTCTTCAGTAATTTCACTACATAGCCGATTTGTCACTTTTTTGCATGCATCCGAGGTGCATCTTGGTCCTATGGCTCTTGGGTGTTTGGTTACAATCTCACCATCTTTCTTGCGTTTGCTTACATATGATTTTCCCTCCATCCTCAGCTGTTTCTGCCTGTTTTGCTTCCACTTTAATGGATCTGCAACTTTGGCTTTGGTTATTTTTCTGACAGCGCCTGCTTTATCCAAATTGGTGTTTCCATTTTGGGCAACCGTATTAAGATGTGCTGTACAAACAGATCAAAAAACAGAAAAACATTTTTGTTGTTATTTTTCATTGCTAGCACTGGAGGTCTGGGATTTTTCAGAAACAATGAAACAATGAAACAATCATTCAAGTTTAAACCCTCAAAATCTTTTCTCAGAAATATTGGGGATGTTTATTGGTCTTATTATTATTCTGATAGCACTCAAGCATTTCAGTTGAATGTTCATGGCAAAGAGACCAATTCTGAATACATTAAGAGAGGGAGATGGAGGGCAATGTACTCATCCCTAGTGAAAATTGGGTAAAAATGTGTCAACTGCAGTGGACCATAAAAGTCTCCAATACATGGCGAGAGTTTGGATGGAGACACTTAGTGAGATATTTTATTACACCAATTCAAAAAAGGCACCGAGGAGGTCGCGACTTATGTTGGAGGCTTTTTTATATATTATTATATTATCATATCCTCTGGGGATGTAATGTAATTTTGGTCCTGTGTGTGTAATCATATAAATTTTGTTTATGGATCTAAAATTCCCTGTTCATTTCAGTGTATATATTTGGGAGATGTAAACACGCAAAACTGGAAGAAGTCTGATATGAGACTGTTGGCAATTCTATTGATTGCTAGCAAAAAAGCCATTACAAGGAAATGGTTAAAGGTTGAACCACCGTCACAGGAGGACTGGATCAATATAGTCAACGAAATCTACATTACGGAAAAACTATCATTCGCTTTGAGGATTCACAGTGACAAGTTCTATGAGCAACGGTCAAAATGAACCAAACATGTTAAACCAATAAGATCTGACTTTTTTTAAGGTTCTGGAACTACGAGTGATACATGGATTTCGGGGACGTCTAGGCCCGGTGGCGCTGAAGCAGCTGACTTTTCTATTGACCCAAATTAATTTAACTATATACGTAAAAGTACATATATTAAATAATAATGGATAAATGGATAATAATAATAATGATAACAAGAATAATTATAAAAATATTATTATAATAAATAATCCACTGGTGTTACTGAAAATTAAAAAATATATATATATATCAATTGAATGTTCACAAAATTAACTTTTTATAATACTTGCATGCACACTTATACATCCAAGTAAAGGTGGATGTACATTAACTCTTATCTGTACTTACTAGTGTCAGCACCCACAGGTGCTTGGTGATGTACAGGAAACTGGGAGATCATCTGCTGCTCAGATATTGTCATTGAGTGGGACCGTTTTTTACCCACTCCATCTTTGTCCATGTCAGATTTCCTGCTTGCATCACCGACATGCAGGTGGTCTATGTAGAGAAGCATACATTGTAACAAGCAGCAATGAGTTGACTGTCCAGAATTCTGTCAGCAGTAACTCTCCCCCTAGTCTCCACATGTAATTGTGCACACATCAACAGCCTGTTTTACATTGTTGTAGCCCACATTCATGTTCAGTAAATATGTCTGTTTGTATGAAGCTTTGTTTTGTTCTGTTTGCTTGTATCAATGGCTCTGTGGATTATTGAGTCATTTATAGGCTCAAACTCAGGAGGCAGGAATTGAACTCAAAATTAGCTTTAATGTTGATTTCCCAGGTGATAAACAGTCCAGAATCCACAAGACAAGTTACAGAAAATAGGACATCTATACATCTACACAGTAAATACAAGGGCTACAAAGACAAGGAACAGGTAGCTGGAGGGATGAATCAATAAAGGTTAAAAACACAAGACTATACAGAAATAACCCTAAAAAAAGAATATTAACAAAAATGAGAAACAAAGAAGTGAAACCCCAGATACTCAGAAGCTACTAATCAACCGTAATCAAATAGACACTGACATTGACCCTTAAATGAATAAAAAATAATCATTTAAAAGTGTAAAACATGCAAACACATTTTTTTGTGCCTTACCTTGTATATTTGTGTGTTCTGTGACAGGTAAATAGTCACTCGTGCCCCACAGGAATATTTGAATATGAAATATTGATATCATGTTGGTAACACAAACTGTGTACTAAAGATAATTCTTCTCTTTGTATGGCTTTGGCATACTTGGCACACAAACCCTTTTCACTTCCCAGCGCTCACATTTGAAATGTAACATCCTTGCTAAACAAAAATATACTACTAACACTATACTTCTTATTTGAAGTTGCTTTAAACGTTCCAATAATATAATTAAAGTCTTTAGCAGTGACCAGAGTGGCCTGGGATTATGTTGTAATCTGTGAATTGGTTAAGTCTGCCTCTGCTTGTTAGGACAGGTGAATGCCTGATATTTTTCACATTTCATTAAACATTGCATGAGCTCATATACCCACCTGGTGGGATGTGATGCTGCCCAAAAGTCTCAGGGACTGTGGGTCTGTGGACTGGGGTTTCGGGGGTGGGTTTGGGAAGAAGACCAATATCCTCCATTGCTGCAATAGCTAAAACATGAGAAAGAAAAGAATTATTATTGTATTTTACGATTGATTTTAAAATCGCATTTTCTCCAGCCATCTTTCTTTCCCCTCTTAGGTCATCACTAAAATCAGCCTGAAACCCCGTCAGCGCAGCTGTTTACTGTGCACAACAAACCCATGTGGCCAAATCCAGATGTTTTAGCTTACGTAGAAGTAGGCGTTGCTGGGCCTGAGAGTCACGGAAAAACTGCAGATCGAGAAGCTGCTCCTAACGCGGTATATCTGGCTAAGCTCTCACCCTTCATGCAGGCTGAAACCTTTAAAACGACACATTTCTGGCGTTCGTGTTTGCTTACACAGCGTTATACATTTGAAAACGTCTCGTAAACCCGTCGCTTCCATCCAGACCAGCTCACAAATGTCCCCGCTGCCAACTGTTTACTCCATCGCGGCTCTGGCAGCGAAACTCCGCAGCAGTCAAATCAGTTAACTCGACTTTTATTTGGCTAAATGTTCATAACTATATGCTCTGAGGGGCTTCTCACAGGCAGCTGCCATGTCTGAGCATGCGCATCCAGGCTTTCCAGGGTACATATACAAGTGACTTTGGTGTGACAGTTTATAACAGAGATGGGAGCTCGGTTTCAATGTATGAATGTATGAATCACATATGTGTAAAGTTACGCCTTAATTTCAGCCAAAGGGAAACAAAAATGAGTATTATTGTTGCAAATCCCATAAAGTCTTCTGACAGTATTCTGATGCAGGCCATCTATGCAAGTCTGACTGCAAGAATTATTTATATAATTCAATTCTGTGGTTACAAATAGATTAATTGCTTTAGTTTGCACTAGAAGAACAATGACAACAATGTGCCATGTCTAACAACATGTAAATATGCTTTTATATACTGAAAAAAAGACAGTGTAAGAGCATAATTCTCCATAATAATAGGTCTAATGGGTCAACATAAGGGTTCAAATTAGAATTATTCAGTGGCTGCTCTCAGTTCAATATTTACCATAGTAGCCTATTTTATTTACCAACTGTGGTTTGCACCATTGCCTCACAGCAAGAAAACCCTTTGTTCAAATACATCACAAGGCTGGAGCTTTCCTGCATGGACTTTACATGTTCACAACCCTAAACTGGATAAGCAGAAGAAAGTGAATGGATGGACTTTCCTTGATTTTTTTCATTTAGTAAAGCATTCTACTTTTGAACAGATTACTGTGGATTGAATTAACAGTTATGATTACTAGGTACTAAAAACGCTTCATTTTCTCCAAAGTTAACCTCAGTGAACTACAGTATAAACATGCTGCATACATTTTAAAGAAATCATTATCCCAAAAGTATGTTTTATACTGCTGCAGTAGAAATTTCGAAAATATTTCCCAACATAGAAACTAGAATACAGTGAAAACACAAAAAGGGATATTGTATTGGCTGAATCCAGTTTGAATTAGTTTAGAATTCTACATTTTAAACTTTAAACTTTTAAACTAAAAGTTTTTTTAATGCAATAAAGGACTATAAATCTGTCGTTTTTTAAGTGCTGAAGTGTAAGAAATTGACCAAAGATGTATTTTATTGCTTTTTTTTTCTCAAAATAAACAGCAAAGCAAACACATGCTTTGTGGTTTACAGGGGTTTACAAAGAGGGTTCCTAAAATAGTAGGAACACTTTTAGCTTTGCTTTTTCCAGCCATCAAACCGGAAAGAAGGGAAAGGAAGGAAACTGTCAGGGAGTTCAAAGTTTCTGTTGGGGGTTTCAGTGTCCAAGACCAGGCAAGAGACAACATGTGACCGTCAGGCAGGCAAATCAGGCAACAAATAAGCAGCCGCAAGGCAGGATGAAAAGAGGAATACCTCAGAGGAGGTTCATGTGGCTATTATTGGATGGGTTTACACTCAATGTAAACCAGTAAAGATAATTAAACAATATATATCAAAACTACATCACAAAACAATATACATAGCTATTTAGTTTACTATTGCTTCTGGGACCAGAATGCATGAATGAATGAATGAAGAAATATATGAAAGTATAAAGATATATATCCAAGCGATTTATGTAATTATTGTGATTCTAGCTGTTGTTCATTTAATTTGAATTTGAATTTGAATTTAAAACGAGTAAAAAGCTCATGCAATTGTACCTCCTCGCCACATGGGGTCGCTGTTGGACTGATTTTCATATCAGGCACATCCTATCAACTTTGCAGTGTTGGTGGCAGCAGGCACTCCACACACAGAAGTTATTCTTCAAAAACAAGTTTTCTGAGTAGTAATGTTGAAATAAAAACGTCACGGTTTAAATAAAGGTAAGTTTTTTTGTCGTTGGTCTTCGGTAGGAGGACGTATGTGGGACTTTCCATTCCAAAAGCTCTATAAATAGTTAGTTTCGGTTTCAGTTTTGCCAGTCAGTGGTTGTCGGTTCGTGACTGAACAGGCTGCCGGTTTGTAGATATTAAATTAACGTTATTTACTTGGTCTGAGGTTATATTCGAGTTTTTCAAAGGTTTGGGACGTTCGTCGAAGCAAATAGGTCGTGTCAAGGAAACCGAGTAAGTAGGTTGGATTTAAGGGTAATTATAACAGTTGCTATCCCCTGTAAACTCATGTAGTATACGCTATCAATGCTGTTTATGATAGTAGGTGTCAACATTTGCCATAATTGTTTGTGTTTGTGTGTGATGTTTGGTTTATTCACGGAGCCATTTCAAAGAAATCATCAGGGCAGCAGAAAATGAAAGTAAATGCAATCGGCAGCAAAGTGAAAGTAAATAGGGACCATTGTCCTTAAAGGGCATTCAAAATGTAGGCCTGGTGTTTGATGTTTGATCATGTTTGATCCGTCAGTCCCATCCACCCAACACTTATAGACGTAATGTCACTCTTCCAGGGGGAAAAGGAAATACTCTAGTGTACAAAGACTAGTGCATGGTGCGTTATAGCGTTAATATATGAGTATAAGCTGAAAAAGTTGCTTTAAAAAAGTTTGCCCACTGGTGACACATAGATCATCCTTATTTTATGTTTTTGCATGTTTGCATAGTTTGCTGATATTAATACTCAGCTGTCTCTGTCATTTGTTTTTGCAGAGTGTGTGCGTAATGCAGAAGATGAGCTACTTTTTCCCGGTGCTTTGCGTGTGCCTGGATGTGTGTGTGGTGCACACCATCCGCCTGGCCCAACTCTCGCCTCTCCTACTCTCTCATCCATTCATCACCCTATGGGCAGGAGCCCTGACCAGAGCCTCCCTCCTTGCCTTCCTGGCCTTCACCTACCCTGGAAGCCTACCATGGACTAAAAGCTTCGAGGGGATCCAGAGCTTAGGGGTCCTTTGCTTCCACTTCCCAGTGTACGCTACTCTTCTCTGGGTGCTGGGGCAGTCCACCATGGAGGAACTGTGGGGGTGGCACTCTTGGGAGAGGGTGAGTGTATGTGTTTTGTTGCCTACCATGCTACAATATGTGCAACCTTGGTGAGCAGCAAGAAGGAAAATATGAATTCATTACCTAATGCACTTTGAGGGGACATATCTCAATAAGAAATGTGCTTTTCTTTACGTGCAATAGCTATCTGTGAACTGCAGGATTCTTACCAGCTACTTTGAAGTGTAAAATGCATCACACAAATCTTATGATAAGAGTTGAAGTTTATTGTTCTATATCAGTAACTTCTCCTGCAGCAGAAAGTTGTAAAAGTGCCAGTTAAAACTGCAGTATCAGTAAGAACAGTCAAATATATTAGATAATGAAAATATCAGGAGCATTTAGCTGAAATAAGAAGTATGAATACAAGTATTTGTTAATGTATCTATAATCTACATTTTTTTATGCTATTTTTACTTGGAACCTTTTTAAACTGTGTTACTGCTATTTGTGGCCACATCCTTTACCACTTTTACTGCCACCCTGGAGGTCTTCAGTTCTTCTTCTTTTGTTTCATGACAGAAACCACTTAACAACTTTGTGATTGCTGCCAGCATGGATGGGATGCATAAATTGTTGCTTTCATGTCTTAAGTCTGATCAGCAGACAAAACACACATTTACACATTAATATAATGAAAAAGTGAATAATTTTTTTCTCTATATGTGTTTATTAGATTTCTAGTAGTAGATCTCTCAGATAATTGAACAGTTTCCAGTGTAATTGAACTTTTTTTGAGCAGAAAATAAAAATAATGCATAAAAGATACTCAGCCTGGAACAAGATCTGAGACCAAAACCAATTTATTTCATCTAAGCTAACTAAACACACGTGTAATGGTTATATTAAACCTGTCCTTTGTCCTGCAGGTGTTACAGGGTTATATCGTGACACTAGTGGCTTGGCTCTACTGGAGTCGGTATGTGTCATCTCTTTTGATCTCCTGGGGCCAGTACATTTCATCTTTTATTAAGAGGACACCATCTCAGAAGCCAAAAGAGGAGACTGGGGCCTCTCTGAAGAGACTGATGGGATACATGCAGCCCTTTTTCTGGCGCTTTGTTGCTGTGCTGATACTTGTCTTTCTCTCGTCTTATGGTATGTGAAATAACACCTTTGAAGTGGGGTCTGTTGCGCTTCTTTCATTCCATTGTATTTATAGTATTACAATTGTGTATTCTCATATTAAACATAATCAGAGTGGCAAATAATGAGGTTAGCATACGTGAAAGTAAACCCTGTATGCAGAATGTCATGCTTCAGACTCTGTTTCAGATAGTTTTTTAAAGAGAGGGAGAAGGGTGATAAATGTGCCCGTTCCAGACAGTGAATTACCTAGAGGGTTGCATTAAGGCCCAGTATAAGATAAATAAGGATTATTGTGAACTTTGAATCATGTGTGGAGTCCAAGAATACAAATCTGGAGCCTAAAGTGTAATACGCCTCTTTTCGTTTAAATTAAAGCATGCATGTCCTTCTTGCCACTACAGTGTTTTGAAATTATATCCTGTAGTTATCATTGTGTTCGTGTCATTGTCCTCATGCTGTTAATTTAAGTATAGGAAAAAAGGTCTTGTTTTCTGCAGCACTAGCTGCATATCTGTAATAATGCCAGCAACATGAAACTGTAATTGTAGGCAAATAAGGAAACGTAATCACAGTCCACTGACGCTGCTGAATGTAAAAGTTAACCTGGCTGTTGGGCTTTGCCAAAGATCAGTATGGTGATAATGTTAACACCTGCTTTCAGGTGAGATGGCTATTCCTCAGTACACTGGACGCATGGCTGACTGGATCATGAATGAAGAAGCACCTGACGCCTTCACAGAGGCCATTACAATCATGACACTAATGACCATTGCCAGGTAATACAACCTTTGTCTTCTTTGGTTATTAAAGTTGGTTTTTAAAAGGTTCTCTCCGTTTACTAACGCAGAACGATTTAATTAGAATAAATAAAAAACATGTGATCTGTTTGCTAAAAATTTCAGAGATTTCTTTTAATACTCAGAAATGATTTGAAAGAGTGTTGTGAGGATGGTCAGCGTTAACCTAGGATGCTTTTTACACCCGAGCTCCTGCTCCAACCCATGTAGTGTAGTTTCAGT